GATGTCACTACTCCATCACCTCAAGTAAATGGTGAATGTGGATAAGGGAAACCTCCCCTTTATAGGGAGTAAATCTTATCTGTAATTTATATCATATCCTAATCGTATAATCGTCCAGTGTAATAATAGTAATAAGTTTAATAAAATAAAAATGTTGTTACCGCTAACGTATAACAATTATTCTGTTTGAAATGTCAGATAATTAGGGATGCATAGGTCTTCATGATTCATAGTCGAAAGTATTAAATATTGACCCTCTAATCCGCAAAGTTATTAAATCGCGACTTGTTCTATATTTTATGCATTTTTTTTTACACTTATTAACCTTGGGTAAATTTTTAAATATTCTTTATTTTTAGTATTACCAAAAAATACTACTATTGATTACATGTACTACTATCCTATTGTTATTACTACTAATATTTTCAATTATCATTTTTTATATATAAAAATTTCATTATAAACAAAATTTTACAAAAAAAAAAAAAAAAACAAGGGACAAAAGTTACATGCATGCATGGGAAATACAAATGCATGCGCACACATGCAACAACTTTCAATACAAGTCCCCAAAAGTCACAGCCACTTCTCTATTTTTTTTTTAAAAAAAAAAAAATTTGTTTAAGGCTTTGTTGTTAATGTTATTTTTACCCTTTTAACTTCATCTTCTTCCTCCTTCCAAATCCTCACCAAAGCTCCATTATAACCATGAATTTCATGTCACATTCCTTCTCTATTCTGTTCACTTAGAATCAACAAGTGTAAGGTTTGCATGTCTAGTTTTTCTATCTAGTCAACTCAACACAGGAAGATGAAAACGATATTCGACGTGAAAGAGTAGCTTTAAACAAAGAAATCTCTGCCATTACCACTCATATGGTATGTTAAATCCATGCACAAGGAGAAAATGGTAAGCCTTGGTTGTAATTTAGCCACAAAAATCAGAAAATAGTGTGGTATGACAGTACGTTGTATCCTTGAGTTGCATTTATTTTTTCAAATGGTAAGGTGAAAGATGACTACCTATAATCAATGGAAAACAACTTTGGTATTTTCTGATAAGCAGGTTTATGAGTAGTACGATTTGGCTATGGCGAATTGAAATATGAAGGGTTTGTATGAGAAAATACACTCTTCAAATAGCAAGCACTACTAAATAATAACTGTGTTAAAGTTATATTAGTGTTTCTAAGTATTTAGTTAGTCACCTTAATTTTAGGCATTAATAATTCAGTCAAATTAGTGAGAGTTTTGTACATAGTAATAGTGAGTTAAATTCATTTGTATTCTACTTAATTAAGACAGGTGATGGAGGGTTCAATCTTAACATTTAATTTGTTTCTCTTAACCTGGCTATTATTATAGTTTATTTCATTATAGATATGGTCTTATTATGAATGATTGTGGTTAGTCTTTATTGACAAAATCGGTATAAAAAATTATGCGGTACTAAAGACTTGTGACCTTTTAAACATGTTTAATCTGATTAACTATTGTAGTTTTTGTTGTTTATCTCAATCTAATATATGGACTTGTCGTATAAATCAATTAGACAAGCGAAAACTCATAATCAATCCATCTCTTTTTTATCAATCTGAATTTTATTTATCAGATTACCAAATAAGACGAATTTTAATACAATATTAATTTATCAAACACTCTAGTATTCATCCATATTCATTTCGTATAAGCAATAAAATTTTCGTATTTTGTATTTTAGCTCTCATTTACTCCTAGAAGTACTATTCACCCTTTCCCTTTAAAAATAATATCACTCACCCTTCACAAAGAAAAGGGAAGAACTTTTGGGATAAAAATCTCTGAAAGACGTGCAAATTATTCAAATATTGTCATTGTCTTTTCATTGATATAAAAAAGTAATCTAAAAGAAAAATATTTTAATTTATAGTAAGGAAAAATTAGTAAAACACAAAAAAAAAAGTAGTAGAAGAGATTCTTGCCTCAATCACCTTACATTGACCATATTTGACTCATTGTTTTCTTAGTTATTTAAACAGCTACTCAAAGCCAAAGGTAACATTCTCATTCTTTTCATTTGTGATTTCCAATTATTTTTATATACATTTACTAACTTTTCTACGTCTGTGTGTTCAATAACCCCCTAGGGCACTATACGTGTCAGTTTCCTAATTTGGAAACCAAATATAATTCGACCAACTACAGGTGATTTTTAGAGTGAGTATACATGGTTTGTTTGTTGGTTGTGCCACTTGAATGCATCACCATTTTTTAAATATGAGAATGAAGCAATGATAATTGTAAAAAATGTATAGGGAAATTTTAAAGAATGAATGATAGAATTTGAAGAAAGTCCTTTTTTCGACCAATTTAGTTTTAATTATAAAAAACAAAAAAAAACCAAAAAAAAAAAAAAAAAAAAAACGTTTCCCATTAAAATAATCAAAAAGAAAATTTTCACAGTAAGTTCATATATGTGTAACAGTATGAGACTTAGAATTTTATAAAAACGAGTTCTAACCTATCCATAAAATATTAGACATTAAGGGTTAATAATATCATCAATTTCTGATTACAAGTCTTACCTTTTACCAATTTTGACCAATCCTATTATGAAATATGAAAAATCACATTGGCTAAGTTAGGGTCACACGCCTTCATAGGATGCATACTTTATTTTTTTATGATTTTTACAAAATAAAGTATTAAAATAGTAATTTGGTTCAAGACTGCTCTTTCCAACCAAGAGTATTATTTTTATATAGCATATCAAATAAATTCTAAAAAATGATAATTTCATGCAAAGCACTTATATATATGTCATTAATATACCCTTAAAAGTTATACGACTTTTTCAAAGTATATTTGACCATTACCACCCAATTTCCCATGAAAGCCCCAAACTGGAGCGATTTTAGAGAAAATTCTATTTCTCCCCATCAAACCGTTCGACTGATCCAAATTTTTAATACCGGGACATTTAGACCTTTCCAAAAAAAAATTCAATAGCTCAACTTTTCCAACCAATAAATCATAAGATAACAAGTCTGAAAGATCATGGAGGCATAAAACTTATAAGAACTTCAAGAAGGAGAAAGAAATAAACATTATAATAAGGGGTGAGCAAACCGGGTACCCGGTCAAAATTTTAGGACCCGGACCCGGAATTGGTTGGGACCGGGTCCTAAAATTCGGGACCGGAATTGGAATTTGTTCAACCGGGTCCTAAAATTTAGGACTTGCAATTGGAACCACCGGGGTACTGGTTCGGTTTCGGGTACCCACTTATGTATATAATTGTTAAAATATATTATAAATTATAATACTTATATATTTTATTCTATTTTCATTTTTAGCGTTTAACACTTGTATTTATATTTGCATTAAGCTATTTAATTTATGTTAGGTATTAATATATATATATATATTTTACTAACTAGATACATTTAACATAATTTTATTTTTAAAAACTTATTTAGTGTAACATATGTTGGGTAACCGGGTACCCAACCGGGTTCCGGGTCCAAAAAATCGAGAAATTGGAATTTGAACCGGTTCAACCGGTCCTTAATTTATTACCCGAAATTATTCTTTTTACCATAATTCTTCCTACATTCTCCTACCATAATTCTTGCATGAACTAGCCTATAAATAACCCTTGATTCGTGGCTAAACACTCACACCAAATTCTATAATTCTCTCTTAATTTCTCTTCTCTCTTTCTCTCTTGTTCTGGCGCCAACCACCACCATCAAACACCACGACCACCACCTCCGACTGCCACCTGCCGCAGAGCACAGCCACGACAGCCAACGACCGCCTCCCTTGTGCCACCTTTCTTCTTCCTTTTTCCTTGGTTTTCTACCTCTTCTTCTTCTCTTCTCTTATTTAATTAATTATCATTATTAGTATGGGGGATTTATAAAAGTTATTATGAGTAGTTTTAATTAAATAAAATTAGATTTTTATTCAAGTTTATGAAATTTAATTTAAAAGGTTCATGTACATATAGTTCGGGGCTTTTAATTTAATTGTTGTGTTTATTTGTTAACCTTATATTAATTAAGGTTATATTTATTTGTAGGGTGTGTTTGATCAAAGTTCTTGAAGTTCTTTTGTGTGTGCTAAGCAAGGATCAAAGGTACGTTAAGGTGGCTAGATACCTTTGAAATTGATTGGATTGAATAAGCATATTTTACATGTTTTTATGATGATTGAATAAAATTGAATTGAATTATGATATGAAATAAAAGCATGCATGTTTTAAAAAAAATGGTTTGATAAATAAATTGGAGGATTGATTTTATATCATGTTTTGAATGATTAAAATTATTTATCATGTTTTAAAAAGGTTTGATTTTGAAAGCAAGTTGAATTAAATAAAAAGGAGTTTGAATTATGTTGAAATTTTTGAATTGGAAAAGGATTTATTGAATTTGTTATTATTAAAGCTTTACAAGCATGTTAGTAATCCCGCTATGCGGAGTTGGTTGATAAGACTTTGGACTTTGTATGACCGAGTTTAAAATATCCGAAATATATATAAATGATTCGGTTTTTAAAATAAAATAAATGGATAATAAATCTTATCCAAAATCCAAAAATAATAACTAAGCTTTAAAATACTTTTGACGCCAAAATTCAAATATCATTTTGGCTCCAAAATTCAAATAGTAAAATAAATTACTAAAATACCCTTTTAGAAAAGAGTAATTAATTAATTAGAAAATACGTTTCAAAAATACGGGGTATTACAATCTACCCCCCTTACAAAAAGTTCCGTCTCGAAACTTAGCTAAAAGAGATACGAAAATCATTTTAAATTATTGGTTCATGCACATCCTAACTTGACTCAAAACTCCAACCAACTCAGGAAAGACTTAAAATCACTCTAAAATGACTCGAAAAGCAAACGCGTGAAACTCTATCGTCCTCTACCCCCCTTAAAAGAATTTACGCACCCGTTACTCGACCACTAACCTTAGGCAAACAACTCTGGGTAACGTTTCCTCATATCCGCCTCAGCTTCCCATGTAGCCTCCCCTCTGATTCGACCACAACACTTTCACAATACTCACATCCTTATTCCTTGTACTTCTCACTTTAGAATCCAGAATCCTTACTGGTCTTTCCTCATAGGTCAAATTCTCATCCATCTCAATGATTTCTGGTTGAAACACATGTGTCATATCAGGTATATACTTTCGAATTTGACTCACGTGGAACACATTGTGAACCCTTTCCAGCTCATTTGGCAAATCCAACTTATATGCCACTTTCCCCACTTTCTGGATGATCTCATATGGATCTATGTACTTTGTGCTCAGCTTTCCCTTCTTTCCAAACCTCATCACACCTTTCATGGGTGAAATTTTCAACAAGACTTTCTCTCCTACTTCATATTCCTCCTCCCTCCTTTTCAAATCAGCATAACTTTTCTGTCGATCTTGGGCTACTTTTATCTTCTCTTGGATCAACTTCACTTGTTTCACCATATCCTCGACCATCTCAGGCCCAAGTACCATTGTTTCACTTATATCATTCCAACAATCCGGCTTCTACACTTCCGACCATACAAAGCCTCAAATGGTGCCATTCCAATGCTTGCATGATAGATGTTATTGTAAGAAAACTCTATCAAATCCAAGTGGTCTTCCCAAGACCCTTGATACTCCATCACACAAGCTCTCAACATATCCTCTAATGTTTGATTTGTTCTTTCCGTCTGACCATCCGTTGTAGGATGAAATGCTGTGCTCATTAACAACTTCGTTCCCATTGCCTTTTGCAAACTTTGCCAAAAATTAGACAGGAATCTTGAATCTCTATCTGAAATGTATCTGTGGGTACCCCATGGTACTTCACCACAAACTTCACATAAGCTCTCCCCAACTGATCCATAGTCCAAGTACTTCTCATGGGTATAAATGTTGTTGACTTCGTCAACCTTTCCACTATTACCCAAATAGTGTTATTCCCTGCCTTGGTCTTAGGTAATGCTCCAATAAAATCCGTGGAAATCAAATCCCACTTCCACTTGGGCACTTCCAAGGATTGGACCTTTCCTTGAGGCCTACGATGCTCAATCTTCACTTTTTGACATGTCAAACACTTGGTCACAAATTCAGCTACTTCTCTTTTCATATTGGGCCACCAAAAAGTCTTAATTATATCCTTATACAGCTTATCCCCTCTAGGAAGCATTGAATAAGGAGAATTATGGGCTTCTTCCATCAATCTTTGCTTCAAATCTCCACGACTCTGCGGTACACACCACCTTCCCTTGAAACGAATACTCCCTTCATCACCAATAATGAAATCCAACACTTAACCTTCATCGATCTTTTTCTTTATCGCTTTCAACTTCTCATCTTCCAATTGACTCTCCCCTATCTCATCATAAATGGATGGTTGAATCACCAAAGCATTCAACATCCTAGCCACCTCTCCATGTTCCATCACTTCCAATTCAACTTCTGAAATTCCACACACAACTGGTCAGGCACTACCATCACATTCATCGAATGTTCTGACTTCCTGCTCAAAGCATCTACCACCACATTAGCTTTTCCTTCGTGGTATTGAATATCTAACGTATAATCACTTAGAAACTCCAATCATCTTCTCTGCCTCCCATTCAAATTCTTTTGAGTGAAAATGTACTTCAAACTCTTATGATCCGTGAAAATCCTACAAGTCACCCCATACAAATAATGCCTCCAAATCTTCAAAGCAAACACTATTGCGGCTAACTCCAAATCATGGGTTGGGTAGTTCCCTTCGTGGGGTTTTAACTGCCTAGAAGCATATGCAATCACCCTTCGACTTTGCATCAAGACACATCCTAGTCCAAACCTCGGTGCGTCACTATACACTTCATATAGATCACTTCCATCCGGAAAAGCCAGCACAGGTGCTATGGTTAACCTTTCTTTCAAGGTCTTGAACGCCTCTTCACACTCTTGAGTCCATGAGAACTTATGCTCCTTTTTCATCAATCTTGTCATGGGCTTCGCGATTCTTTAAAAATCCTTCACAAAGCTTCTGTAATAGCTTGCCAAACCCAAGAAACTTCTCACATCCGACACACTTTTTGGGGTTGGCCAATCACTAACAGCTCGAATCTTACTTGGGTCCACTGAGACTCATTCCTTAGCTTGGAAATCACATTGCCCAAAAATGCTACTTTTCCCAACCAAAATTCACACTTTGACAACTTGGCATACAACTGGTGCTCTCTCAAACATGACAACACTTGTCTCAAATGCTCCTTATGCTCCTTTTCATCCTTTTTGAATAAATCAAGATATCATCAATAAACACCACTACAAACTTGTCCAAGTATGGCCTGAAAATCCTATGCATCAAATCCATGAACACTGTTGGTGCATTGGTCAAACCAAACGACATGACTGTGAACTCATAATGACCATAACGGGTCTTGAAAGCACTCATTGCAATATCTTGCTCCTCAATTCTCAACTGGTGATAACCTGATCTCAAGTCTATTTTTGAAAACACTCCAGCCCCTTTCAATTGGTCAAAAAAATCGTCGATCCTTGGCAATGGATACTTATTCTTTACTGTCACCTTATTCAACTCTCGATAGTCAATACATAACCTCATACTTCCATCCTTTTTCTTTACAAACAACACTGGAGCTCCCTAAGGCGAGGAACCAGGTCGAATGTAGCCTTTCTCTAACAAATCATCCAACTGAGTCTTCAACTCTTTCATTTCAGCTGGAGCCATCCTATATGGAGCTTTAGAAATAGGTCCAGTACCAGGCACTAGATCGATAGTGAACTCCACATCCTTCACTAGTGGCACAGGGATCTCATCTAGAAATACATCCGGAAACTCCTCTACAACCGGAATACTTCCAACACCCTTCTTTTCCTCACTTTCAATTTCTTGAACACTACACAAAAACAGAGGACAACCTTTCTTAACCAACTTCTGTAGTTGCATCGTAGAAATAATTCTCAACCCTGAACTTTTCCCTTCCTTTTTATACCACTCTGACCTTACTTGGGCTAGTCAGAGTAACCTTTTCAGCTGCACAATCAATCTTTGCTTCATACCTTCCCAACCAATCCATACCCAGAATTACATCGAGATCATTCAAATCGAACTCGATCAAATCTGAAAGAAATTCTACCCCAGAAATGGAAATAGGTACACTCTTAAACAACTTGGAACAACTCCTCACTTCCCCAGACGGAATAATCACATCTAGAGAAACTGACTCAAGACTTTCCAACCCGAGACTTCCAAATACTCTTTTAGAATTAAAAGAATGGGACGCCCCCGAATAAAACAAAACTTTCACAGGCAAAGAACTTATCAGGAAAACACCAATTACCACAATATTAACAGTTTCAGCCTTACGGTTGTTCATCACGAACACCCGACCCTTTGGGGCACCTCCCGCAACACTACTAGTTCCAACCTTGGGTGTAGGTCCACTAGACTGAGGTGGTTTGCTAAGAACACTAGACTCTTTCACTTTCCCTGACTTAACGTCAGACTCTTTCTAGTAACACTCGTACTCACCGTGTCCCAACTTTTGACAGTAACGACAAGTTAACAAGTTCCCCTCACAGTCCCTTCTTGGGTGGTCTTTCTCACATTGCTTGCAGATATACTTCCTCTTGGATCTCTCACCCCTTTGGTTCCCATTCCCCCTTGCATTGGCCGACTGGCCTCCATTCCCTTTCCCAAAGTTCCCTTTGTTTATCCTTCCTATCTCCAAAATTCCCTTGGTGGTTACCATTGGGCTTATGCCTCTTTTCACCCCCGTGAAAAGAGTCTGGGTTCTTCCTTTTCTCCCCAACATGCTCCATCTACCTCCCCTTGATTCCGAACAGATGGGCTGCATGGCCATAAATTTCGTCTAGGATCTCAAAGGTAACTCCCTCTAGCTTCCCTTGGAGGGTTAAGGTTAAGCCTTGCTCAAATCTCTGAGCTTTAATGGTTTTAGTAGGGACTACTTTCGAGGAAAACCTCATCAACTCAATGAACTTGTTGTAGTATTCACTGATATACATGCTTCCCATTCTTATGTTGGTAAACTCCATGCATTTCTGCTTTCTCAGGTAGGAAAGGTAAAACTTCTCCCTCAAGGCTTCCTTAAACTTATCCCACCCAAAGTTTGGTCTTTTCATAAACTCATCCTTTCTTCGGGCCCACCATAAGTCAGCTTCCTCTTTCAAATAGTAAACACCATTGTTCACCCTCAGCTCACTTGGGCAATTGGTTGCATCAAACAACTTATCAAACTCCCTAATCTAGTTTTCAAGGCTGGCTGGGTCTTCCTTTCCCATGTAAACAGGTGGTTTGGCTGCAGCAACTCTCTTAAAAACTTCACTATAAGAGTCAAGGTCAGAATTTTGGTTTCCCTTGTCACCACTTTAGTGATGTTTTCAGTGATATGGGTTAGCTTTCTAAGGACCTTCCCTACTTTGGAACCAGTGCGCTTACTTCTCACTTGGTCTCTCATCCTTGCAGACATACTTCCTGGGTATAGTTATCATACTTTGAAAATTAAAACAAGTTCTACTCACATAAACATTTAATTCACTTAGTAACATAGAGAAAATTCAATAAAAGAACTTCATTTCATTAATAATTAAAGAAAAGTACAACTTTGCCATCTAAGGCAATTATTGAAAGCAATAAACATAGTCATAGATCAACTATTCAAGCAACACTCTCAGCATAGTTATCTTCATCCGGATCATAGTCAGGATCATCTTGCTTGGACTTATCCCTATCACTTAGTTCAGTCATGAAAGTTAGGTTATAGCCACTGTAGCTTGGAGTACGGCCTGAACTTGACCCAGATACACTTAGATTATCATCCGGGCTTGCATAAGGAGTGTAACTTGGGCTTTTGACTAGGCTAACACTACCACGAGGTTGGATTTGAAGAAGAATTGGGCTTTGGTTGAACTTTTGGTGAAGGTAGATGATATTCTGGACTTGGTGGTTTTTGATTGACAACTTGGGTACGAGTCTAGGCCTTTTTGCAATATGAAAGTGGACTTTTGGACTTGGACGTTCTGGAGGTTCATAGCTTGGAGTACGAGTAGGAGAAGGGTAATTCTTACTCCTACCAAGAGGTGGTATGGATTCATCCTAGATGACACAAACTCATGTGGATCTTTGCAGTATGAAAAAGGTAGTTGGGCATTTAAGTAGTACATTTGTTCATCTTCTTTCAAGGAACTATTCTTTGGAAGTTTAGGAAATCTTACAATTCTCCTCCTAGGCTCATACTTACGTTCCACATAGTGCAAGTCTCTCTTAAGGCTAGACATTCTTGCTAACCACTTCCCCTCATGATGGTGTTTTTCATTCCACAACCCATCTTTCTTGATCATATCCCCATACTTGTCAATGAGAGGTTGATATTTGTCAACTCTAGGTAGATGGGCTAAGGCCAAAAGAACCATCCAAGGTGGTTGGGTCAAAGCTTCCAGATTATACTTCTCATAAAGGGTTAAGGCCAAAGTAACAATAC